CGAAAAAAGAGATTATAAAATGTAAAGTAAGGGGGGGGGAAGGAATACCTAGCAGATTGGGTAAAAACTTCACAAAGGAAATTAATTTTTAATGGTTTGCTCTGTGCATCATAGACAACAACAACAATACCGAGCAAATACTTTCAAGTTTTTTAAGCAAAATGTATCAGTAAAAGATGCATTTGTAAGAAAACATGCACATTTCAACATTAAACTTAAAACACATTCTGGCATTTTTTGTCCTTTATTCCTTAGTATATTTAAGATGTTAGATTTCAAATAGGAATCCATCATTACATTTTTTCCGCTATAATTATCATCCATGATACTAAATTGGTTGTTTTCAAACTATTTATGTTTAATTTGTTTGTTATGTTTAATTGTCACTGTTTTATTTAAAGTTTTTTAAATGCCAAATTTTAACAGAATTTTATGAAATAAACATTATTTGGGCATTAAGACTTTCAAATGCTAAGTAAAAATAAAATAATATGTATTCAAATCTGAAAAGTGATATAAATTCAGACTTTGTTTACTTTATAGGAAAAAAACTTACAACATTTTATTTTTTCTAGATACTTTTAGAGATTTTAAAACAACTCACAAAAACTGAATTTTTCGAATTTATTCATGATTTATGACAAAGAATGATAAGAACAGTTTTTGACAGATTTAAAAAATTAGACTTTGTTAGCTTTAAAACAAATGTAATCTTTTATGAACATTTGTAGTTCCCAAATGTATATATCTTGCCTTTATAAGAAATGAAAAACTGTACCCGCAGTAAAAATTTAGGAATGAAAAATCACACATTAGAATACGTATGCTAGTTGTATAACCACTTTTGTACAAGGCGAATGAAAAGAAAATATTCAATGAATTAATACTGAATAAATTCGATATTTTTCGGAAATAAAAAAACTTGTTTTATTCTTTATTATTTTATGACACAGTTTCAGTTCATTTTTACTTTAAAGATTTTAACAAAGTTGCCTTATGTATAGTGGACAAAATAAAAAAGAGCCACCCTGAATAGCTTTTGATTTCACCTTCTATGACTCAATCTTAATGGCTCGAGGGGGTGACCTCATTTATGCTTATTAATTAATGTAGACAATATTTTAAATCACATACATAAACAGACTTTCACTGAATAACTATCATGAGTATATCTCTGAATAACTACATTTTGACTATCATGAGTTATTTCCCGCACAAAAATCTTAATAAGAACATACTTGAAACATTTTTGCTTAATATAAATGAGTAATTTGAGTAAAATCAGCAGCTTATGACATTGATTTTTTTTAAAAAGTTCTTTTCACATTAAAAGACCTAAACTCTAAAACATATAAATAATATATAACATTTCTTAACAATACTACAATTAAAATTCTTAATACCACTAAGAAAATGTAAGATGATTTATTTACTACAAACTAATTATTAAACAAATTAAATCAACTATTTTTTGTTATCAAACTAAAAATCTAGATGAATTATAAAGAGGAAGTACCACTTTTATCAAATGAAGAGCAAATAACTTGGATCAGAAATCATTTTGAAAAACATGTTATGATTAATTATAAATTTAAAAAAAAGAAGTTTATCCCCTGACAACATTCACAACACAGAAACAGACATACATCAACATTTTAGNGAAAAGCATGTTATGATTAATTATAAATTTAAAAAAAAGAAGTTTATCCCCTGACAACATTCACAACACAGAAACATACATCAAGCTTGCAGGTTTTCAGGGCCAGACAGATTTTTTACAAAACTATTTTTAAAAAAATGCATATGATAAAAAAAATTATTGTTCCAATTGTTTAGTCAGGAAAGCCTCCAAAAGTTGCAGAGGCTCATGTTTTATAACTCTTTTTACATATTTTGCGAAAACTCAAGAATTTTTTTTAAAATAAAGTTTCAGAGAATGTTCAGCTTCTTCACTTTATCTTAATTAACGCAAATATGTTGAATATGTATGTAAAATAACAAATGGAGTACCTTGAATAACTTTTGATCTAGTGATCGGATCTTCATGTTCTAAGACTCAATCTTAATGGTTCATGCGGGTGACATAAAATATGTTAAGTAATTTAAGGCAGGCGGTATTTTAAGTTACGAAATTACAAACTTTCTCTGAATAAACATACCTTTGATTCGACGGATTCGGATTTCTGACATCTAAAATATAAGAGTAGTAGAAGTCTGAGAAATATGGTCTAAATAGTATATAAATGCTAAGATTGATTAAAACTTTCCAAAAAAAAGAACTTAATTTTAAATTAACAAAATTATTAGTTAAGGTCATTCTGTCAAATTAGTTTTAGCAAACAAACAATTTACTAGCATTGCAAAAAACTATACCAGGTAATTTCGTGCTTAGAGTTGTGGCGGCCCGAGCGAAACATCCGAGAATTTCAGCAGGGTTCATCAAAATCATATTTGTTAAAAAGAGATATATATTAAATATTAAAAACTTTCTTTCAATCAGATTTTGTTTAAAAAGTTCTTTTCACATTTAAAGACCTAAACTCTAAAACATATAAATAATATTTAATATTACTTAACAATACTACAGTTAAAATTCTTAATACCACTAAAAAAACTAATTATTAAACAAATTAAATCAATTATTTTTTGTTATCAAACTCAAAATCTAGATGAATTATAAAGACGGAGTACCATTTTTATCAAATGAAAAGCAAATAATTTGGATCAGAAATCATTTTGAAAAACATATTATGATTAATTATAAATTTGAAAAAAAAGAAGTTTATCCCTTGACAACATTCACAACACAGAAACATACATCAAACTTGCAAGTTTTCAGGCCAAGGCAGATTTTTTACAAAACTACTTTTAAAAAAATACATATGATAAAAAAAATTATTGTTCCAATTGTTTAGTCAGGGAAGCCTTCAAAAGTTGCAGAGGCTCATGTTTTATAACTCTTTTTACGAATTTTGCAAAAACTCAAGAATTTTTTTTTTAAAATAAAGTTTTAGAGAATGTTCAGCTCCTTCACTTTATTTTAATTAACGCAAATATGTTGAATATGTATAAATGGACTACCTTGAATAACTTTTGATCTAATGATCGGATCTTCATGTTCTAAGATCTTAATGGTTCGTGCGGGTGACATAAAATATGTTAAGTAAATAAGGCAGACGATATTTTAAGTTAAGAAATTACAAACTTTCTCTGAATAAACATATCTTTGATTCGACGGATTCGGATTTCTGACACCTAAAATATAGGAGTAGCGGAAGTTTGGGAAATATTGTCTAAATAGTTTGGACCCTTTAATCTTAACTTTACTTTTAACATATTTTACCATATGTCAAGAAATTTTAAGCAGATTGAAGAATTTTACACACAATACACCCAATTGTTAACATAATTTAGCGAAAGATAATTTCATGCAAAAATTACTTTTAGTGAGAATTTATTGTTTATTATTTTAGTTAATAATAGTAAAAAAAAAAATTGAATTTTAAAGGATATAATTTTGATATCATTCTAAAAACTGTATTTTTGAATGGAAAAATAAAAAATTACAGCATACTCGGTTGAATAGTTCCTGAGAAATCAAATTTTGAAAATATTTCAAAATTCGATTTCTCAGAGACTATCCAACCCATTTTGCTCTAATTTTGTATTTTAAAAATTTAAAGTTGAATTCTTTAAAATGATCTAAAATATTATATACCTTAGAATCCAATACTTTTTTTGACTATTTTTAAATTAAATAATAAAAAAATAATAGATATATACTAAAAGTTCTAGTTGGCATGTCTATCTTTAGATAAAAAATTTTATAATTGTATGCAAAAATTCAATTTGCTTAAAAAGTCCTACTCATGGTTAAATGAGTAAAAAGCAAAATTAACATTAGGAGGTTCAAACATTAGACCGCTCTCTTGACCAGACTACTGGGACCATATTTTCCAGTATACAGCTATACTCTATATTCTGGGGGTAAGAAATTCGAGTACATCGAAATAAAGGTATGTTTATTAAGATAAAGTATGTTTATGTATGTGACTTAAAATATCGTCTACATTAATTAATTAACATATTTGAGGTTAACCATCAAGATTGAGTCCTAGAATGTGAAGATCCGATCACATTAAATCAAAAGCTATTCAGGGTGGTTCTTTTTTTTTATTTTGTCCATTATACATAAGGCAACTTTGTTAAAATCTTTAATGTAAAAATTAACTGAAAATGTGTCATAAAACAATAAAGAATATAAAAAGTTTGTTACTTCAAAAAGAAAGTGCTTGCTTTTCCTCGCTATTAAAATTAATGATTAATATCTTATAGAATGCATGAATTAATCAATTAAAAACAATTTTTTTAAAAATTAGGATGAGAAAAGGCCTTTAGAATAAAATAAAACAGACAAATAAATAGCTTACTTCTGAGTCTGGCTGAAGCTGTGGATATAGAGGAAGAAGTTGACTTACAGGATGAACTGGTAGAAGACAGAAGAGAAGATGAAGGGTTGGGATTCAAATCCTGAAAGCGAATCAGTGCCGTTATCCTGCCGAGAAACATAAGATAATGAATGACAGATACATAAAAATACAAATTTAATCAAAAATATAAATATAACCTTCAGAAGTTAAAAAACTTTTTAATAAAATATATTTCTCAAGAATCCCACTACCTTATGTTTTTTTAATTTTATTACCAGTCAGTCAAACACTCATAACAGCAATTCTTCTAGCGTCTGGCAAGACTAATTTTTTATAAAAATTTTAACTATTTGCCGGCCTTTTATAAGCCACCAAAGCTTCATCCAATGATTCCCACAGCACTCAAACCGAGAAAGAACTGTTCACAGGCCTTGGAGATAAAATTTAATGTGAACTTTGTATTTAAATGTAGTGATTTTTCTACCTTATGAAAAGAAACTTAACTAATATCAAGAAAGAAGAATAAAATTGGAATAGTTATCAAGTTGTAAAATAAAAAATAGATAAAATGCTACCATTAATGTTCATTGAATTTATCTGACATAGCAATTAAAAAAATAGTTAAATATTAATGCACTAGCAATAAACTTTCCTTTTTTTTTTAACAATTAGACCTATAAGCTAAAAACTATCACTATTGATGTCATCTTTAAAATATTTGAAAAATTTTATTAAATTTAAAACAATGGGCAATGCTTAACCAATCAGAAAATTCTATTTAATTTTTTGGCTCATTCTGCTTGAACAGTTTGCCATAGATTGCTTGAATAATGACAGTGACCTTCTTCATGCTCCAAATTCAGATGGCTGATTTATGAATCTTTAAAAGACACATAGACATTCATTTATATATAGAGAGAATTTCTTTTTCTAATGATATTAATTATAAGGATCAGACCATAGCTAATGAAATTTGAAATAACTTTTATGTTTGGAAAAATGAGTACTTACATAATATTAACTCGTTTAATCACAAAACTAGGGAACAAAGCTAGGGATCTAGGAACATTCTTTCAAAATAGAAGAACATGAAAATATTTAGAGGAAACCAGTTCATTGTTACAAAAGTCGTATTTTAAAGCAAAATGTAGATATTTTAAGTTAGTTTTGCCACTATCTTAAGTTTACAGAAGTCAGAGTGGTGCAAAACTTAAATTTTGCTATCTAGACAAAGGAGGTATTGTTTCAGATGAATTCGTTCATGTTAAATCGAAAAAAAGAAATCAAATCCCAATCGATAGAACTAAAAGTTTAGAAGTTAATGTGATTTATTGAAAAAATAATGCAAATTTAGACTTATAAATATTTAAGCACCTGACATTGCTGCCTGAGCAAGTGAGGTATTATCTGGTATGTAACATTTATTCTAAATAGAACATGATCAAAAGAAAATAAATAATTAAAAGAATTGTTCTAAATCCAAACCAAGTTCAAAAAGTCAATGATGAAATAAAAAAAATAAAAAAATTGTCAAAAGAAATTTAAACAGTCCAAAATGTGTTCAGCAGAAGACAAGAGTTTTAAAAGCTTTATGTTTTAATTTACACTTTTTATTGCATAGCGGTCTAGGGAAGTGGTTTGGAAAAGCAAAAAAGACAATACCCAAAATATAGGTTTTATAATTTAGAATGAAAAACATAATTTCACCAATTTATGAGTTAAAAATCGCAATTTAAACACGTGAGATACAATATTCTACATATTGTTTTATTCTGAATGTGATTTTAAAAAAAAGAGCCAAGAATACAAAACTAGAAGCTTTACCTGTAAAAACTCTTAAATTACTATTTAAATAAATAAAATTAATTAATATACATCAGGCATTGCTTTAAAATATGCTGTTGAATTCTGAATGCTTCATAGTTTGGAAGTTAAAAGGGTTTTTATGTACAAATAGGTTTAACTCATCATTTAAACCTTTTATGCATGATAACCCTTATAACTACTAAATTGTTTATCCTATTCATTTAGGTTTTGATTTCATTCGATTTGGCATTAAAAAGAAAAGCCATACTTAATTTGCTAGATAATGTTTTAAGTTCCCTCCACACCTTCCAGCTTACATATTATGCAACTTTTTATGACTTATTAAGAAAATATTTCTTCATAATAATTTATTTTTTTTTTAATTTTTTTTTTTATATGTTTGGTTTTTACTACATTTTTTTCAGCAATCCTTGCAGTACTATGATCATTTTAAGTACTCAAGGAGCTTTTCTTTTGTGTTCTTTCAAATGCAAAATTTTTCAAAATGATTATTATCATCATCATTACTTTTTCCCATATCTTGTACCACTGTCAAGATAGGAACACAAATCTCCAGTTGGCATTTTAAGTAATATAATCATGTAGTACATAGCTATTTTACAATACATAGGCAATCTAACAGCTGCAGACACCTTTAAATAGCTGCAGCTGTTTGAAAACTAAAGTTAAAAGAGTGCACAGGCACTTGAACTTTACTGAGAACCATGTATTTATACTGTATTAAGTTATTGCTTTTTATAGAAACTCCCCTGATTTTGATACACTTCAATTAAAAAAATAAACATATGTAAGATACATGAAACAATAAAAATAACCTATCATTTAAATGGTTTTATAATATCTGGCATAAATCATTATGTAATAAAAAATATCCACTTAAGTTAGTGTTTGAATATGGATATTTAAGTTTAGAAGTCTGACAAAAAGTTTTTCGAATAAAAATAAAGGGTTAGTCAATGTTCAAAAAAACTTTAAGAGAGGGAAGAAAAAAAGAAGAAAACTCTGCTCACAAACTCCCATTATTGCACCACATTCTTTTCTTTTGAAGATTGATCTTTTTGCAAAATAAGCTTATTTAACGAGTAAAATACACAGTTATTATAATTTTATATAGGAACATTTTCTTAATATTTTACTTATAATGATATGAACGATTATCCTGACTTGAAAATAACACACTGCACCCGAGAAAAAATAAATTTAAACAAAGGAAAACAGAATATGTGATACAATAAAGGCTTTGTAGTGGGTCAAGGTCAAATTAAAGAAAAAATAAGGAGATTTTCTGGAACAGCAGACATATGCCAGACTAATTTTAAAAGAGATATACCATAAACTAAAAAACGTATAATTTGCTCTACCAGGGTGACCACTCAAATCAGATTTCAAATTTCCCTGATTTTCCAGATAATAATCTTAAAATTTCTAGGTTTTAGTTTCTTTATTCTAATAAAGTGTAGGATGTGGGTACAAGAAAAGTGTCTATATTATAAAATATTTTATTTAAAATGTTATTTTTTTAACATATCTTGAAAAAAATAATTTATTTTGATAATTTGGCAAGATTTTTTATTCATTTTTTAATGTTTTGGTACAAAATTTTGAATCAAAAATCAATTATTGACTAACAAAAGAGTAAAATTAAATATTAGTATATAGTTAGTACTTTAAAAAAAGTTTTTTTTAAATTAAAATACGTTATAAAAGGTTAAAATGAAATAGAAAAAAGTAGCATTAATGCAACAATTGTAACAATTTGTCGATAAACATTGCTGTTAAAAAAAATGTGTGATTGGTTGGTTTGCTGAGAAAAAATAATTCACAGGTTTCTTTTAAAGGGAATACAAAAGCTTTCAGAAAAAGAGTGCAATATAAAATCTATTATTGTTATTAAATTATAACCAACTAATTTTTGGAGAATTTTATAAAGTTAAAAATACAAAAACATTTTGTCAATGAAGTAATTATTTGAATAGTGGCTGAAACCTGAGCAGAACATTGGGGGGAGGGGGGCAACCTAAAAGGTATAGTTAAAACAAATTGATTCCACATTTTCATAAATTTAAGTTTTAATCTTGTGTTTTTCCAAAGCAAATTACATAAGACTATTAAACAAAAGCTTACAAAATGTGATGATGCAAATTTTAATTAAATAAATGGTTTTCATGAATTAAATTTTTTTTTTATATGTATGATATACATTTTGTAGGATGGATAATAAGGAAAGAAAGTTATTTTGATATTTGAGGCATTACTTAGTTACTATATTAAAGTTAACTAATTTTATTTGTAATTAAGGCATTTCAATTCTTTTTCTTGTACCAAGAAATTTAGGATATCAAACTTGTACTATGTTAAAAGAAATTAAGCAGAATTTGAAATTAAGATTCTACTTAGTCCATTTTTCAAGTACCGAGAGAATATTACTTAAGATTTTAGGAGACAAATAAAATTTTAATTCCTTAGCTTTAATCACAATTTCTTCAATACAGATTTAAGCACGTTTCATTTAACCACTGTTCACATACTTCAAGAGGGACAGCTTTAGCTTCTCCATGAAGAGTGCGAAAGACATTGTGTCTGTGTTGCAAAGGAAGGGGCAAGATATCAGCTCCTAAGTTTTTCTTTTTGCTTTAAAAGATCCAAAAAAAATTGAGTTAAAGGAGTAGAATTCGAGTAATCGAGAATAATTAACATGAAATTGAAGATAAAAGGGTTGGGACCTCATAAAAAAATCGAGTTATAGTAATATTCGAGTTATCGTACTTCGAGTTATAGCGAATTGACTGTATATATATATATATATATA